CGTATCATTAAAACTGAAAACAAAATCTTTGACACACGGACACCTACTTTTTGACCCTTGATGTTACAATAACTCGCGAAAAACTCAATATTATGAGCTCAAACTTTTACTGAGAACTATCAATAGTCAGATACATATTCAATAAAAATTTCAGTAAGATTGAGTGTTCTGGGAAAAAAAAATTTAGAGGGGAGGGGGGCCTTTAATATGCAAGGAGTTGAAAAGGGAAATGATGTTCTATCAAGACTATATTTCTCATCAATAAATCCTTTTAAAAATCCACTGCTCACGATGATGCAAAAACGTTTTCGAATGATGGAAATGAATTTCCAGAGCGAGAGCGAACGTATCGCTGTAGGACAGTTCGCTCAGACGGGTGTGTACGATTTTGATGATACAGATATACCGCCATTTGAATCCGGAGAAAATAGCTGGACTGGACTCAAGAAGAAAAAGTTTTGAGTGGGATGCAGGTTCTGAGGCGAGTAGTGAAAACGAACTAGACGAACAAAAAGATGAAGAAGTAAACGGTTTTCTCTCTAGATTTACACATACGACTTTTCGCTCTGAAAATCGTTTTAAGAGTTTTAAAACTCACAAATAATTTTGAGTAACGTCTGTTCTCAAACCGCTTCTGTCGTTTGACACTACAGCACACTGCCTTCTTTATCTTTTTAAAACAAAGACGTAAACATGTCGGAATCAACCCGATAGGACCCCATCAAGGAGGTAGTCGAAGACCACAACATTTGATACCGTTCTATCACCGACATTATTATATTTTTCGAGGTCTTCCTTTGCAAGCACCTATTAGTGTCGATGACGTGTTTGAGCGCAAAAGTTTTGTTTTGAATGACTGCAGTGAAAAAGGTCTACAGAGTGGACACTTCTGATTTCTTATTTGGATAAAATAAGTTTTGAGCCCGGAAAAAAGAGAGAATTGATCCCGGTTGCTTTAATTAACAAAAAAAAGATGGAAATGAGCCCGGTTCAAAAAAGAAAAAATTTATCTTCACAAAAGAGAGAAATGAGCCCGATAATTTAGATTTATTAAATTGTCAAATTCGTAAAGCTGTATCAGTATTGCATCCTAATTTAACAATTGATACAAAAATTAAAAATGTGGTACAATATACACGTCAGCAAACCTGTACACAGATTATTTCTATTGATGATTTACAATTATGGTGTAATGAAATTTGAACTACAAATTCAACAATGAATACAAATGTATGGCTTCAACAGTATTATACAATGTCATGGAATTCATATGATGAATATATTAGCTGATTTAATTCAGGGGATTTAGTCGATTTTTCACGTATAACGGCTCCTTGGTATTGTACATGTCGTTTTGGTCAAAAGGAATATTCATGTGTTCATACAATCAGTTTAATGATTATATGGGGTTTTAAAACTGTTCCACAAATAATTGGTCAAAGAAAAGGAAAAAGTAGACCAAAAAAAGTAAAAGCAGCTTTAACAAAAGATTAAGAAAAGCATTGTTATTATTTTGTATTTATTAAATTGCGTGATATTTTTTTTGTTGAATTGATAATGTTATATACGTACTACGATGTTTAATTTAAATCACGATGACATATACGCACTTCTAAGATTGACTTTAAAAGCATGCTTTTAAACTGATCATTTTTTTATATATTTAACAAATCTAAATTATCGGGCTCATTTCTCTCTTTCTTTTTTTAATTAAAGCAACCGCGATCAATTCTCTCTTTTTCTGGGTTCATTTATTTTCGTGTCCTTATTTCACTTACGAGGGAACATATGTCAATGTCCCTCGCTTTTTCAGCGAAACCTAGTGGGTTATAGATTAACGATGATGCTGATTCCGAATACGAATGTGAGAGCTGCCCCTAGGGCTTCGAAGACCCGGTTTTCTGCAAATTTATTTGTATTTATTATTTAATTTATTTACTGTATTTTGGTTGAATCCCATATGTCTCAAGAATACTGAGATTATCAGTAGCCCCAGTTTGGAATGTCGTAAGCCAATTTTCCGGTTTATGCTTATTGCTGATCGTGAGCAGTTTTCTAATAGAAGAGTTTTTCGTTTCATTCGAAAGCTCACAAACTGAACTGTTCAAAATTTCCTCATAGTGGCAGTGTTCATCACATATCGGTGTGTTTGACAGCAAGTGAGTTTTACTCCCACAAGATCGGTCGCATTGCTTGAAAACACTCTTACAACATAGTGAGGGTATAGATGATATTCTATATTGTGTGAAGAAAGGAAAGAAACAGAAACTCTACAATAATACAAACATAGAAGTAAAAAACAAAAGCGGCAAAGATAAAAAATAACCATATATACAGTGTAAAGAGTAAGCAGCACAACTAACGAGGGAACATATATAAGTGTCCCCTCGCTTTTTCAACGCAACCTAGTGGGTTATAGGTTATCGATGATGCTGATTCCGAATATGAATATGAGAGCTGCCCTTAGGGCTTCGAAGACCCGGTTTTCAGAAACTCTGAAAAACATCCAAAGCTTTTCTTAATAAGCCATGCTTCTAGCCCGTATATTTCTGATTAAAATGAGACCTCTCCCAGTTCTACATGACCTTTCTTTGAATTGAATTAAAAATAAACGGTTCATTTAGACAATTGTCTTGGTTTCAGCTTGTTCAGGATGAGTCGCATACAATTTTACATATTCTTTTACCATTTTCCTAATTGAGAGTATAACTATTGGTCGATACGGACTAGATATATAATAGAGTTAAAGTTAGATACTTTAGTTCCGTATTTTAATTTTAATTTTATTTAAATTTTAAAATTTTAACAAAAACAACAAACGTTTCGACCTCTTTTAATTGAGGTCTTCTTCAGTGTACATAATAAAAT